ACCATACGAAGAAGCAAGACTTTTCTATTTACACAGTTAACACGATAGTGGCGTCTTGGGAAAGGCGATGTGATGAGCGTTGGATAAATGGATGAAAAGGAAGCGTATGTCATGTAGGCTTTCTTTTCTGAGCCGAGAAAATGGAAAAGAGTGAAAAAGAAAAAAAAGGGGTTTAGGTAGAATATCATTTTCTAATAATTAAAGCTTAAGGCTTAACAGTCTGCAGAATATTTAATTACAACGAGGGAAGAGTGATTTCCAGAAGAAAGAAGCACAATCCTATTCCTAATTTCATTTTCGAATGCAATTTAATTTCGTGTAGCCAGTAAAAGCAAAGCAACACAGAAATATCAACTCAAGACTTGTGTCTTCTTTTCATGATTTCAATAATAATATTTATTATGTTTTCATTTACAAAGAGTACACTTTTTAGTAACTCTGAATTGAAAAGTTTTGAAGGATTTCATGGAATTTAATCTGCCCTAAGGTTTATCACTCTTCAGTCTTCACCAAGTACAAGGGATTAATTTTGTAAATATACAGAAAAAAATATCCATTATCTTCGTCAAAGTATGATAATTTAACATTTCACTATCCTCCCAAAGAGAATTTCAACAATTACGAAATAAATAAAATGATTTGGCAGGTTTAAAGTCATCTCCAGACAGATAAGCAAACAGTGCCCAAATTATTAACATGAGACACCTCTGGCCCCTCATAAGTCATATCAAACAAACTCACCCCCCCAACTAGAAACAAACGAAAAGAAAAGGCTAACAGCTGATCCCACCATTTCCCATTTATATAGCTACCAAGGTTAAGATAATTTCATCCTAATCAATTGACCAACTAAAACACTTGACTTAGCCTAATTACTAGATTCTTAATCTAATTGGCCAAACACTCTCCGCTTTTATCAGAAGTCAAGTTGTTATTTAGGACGACCTTACTTGAACATGATCTATGATCTATTCTATAGGTTGTACAACTGTTTCCTTGAGTTCTAAAGTCGAGTTGTTATTTAGGACTTTTAATCCAGTCCAAAACTCTATTAGTCTACACACATTTTTTGCAAATGTTACCGTTGAGGTTGAAAACTATGAGATGCGAAATTTTAAATTTCTGGTCGGCCTAACAGCAAAGAAGATCAGAGACTCACAAAAAGCTAACAAATTATGAAGAGTAGAGGGAGAAAACAGCACCTGATTTGATTGACTAACTGAGCAAGCCGTTCTATGAGTAATGAGCTTTATAACAGCTTCACCATACAGACTACTAACTTGAATGGTTACATTGCCTATGCTTCACAAGACTATACAGCACCGTCTACTCCGAGTCGGATGATTTAGCCTCCTCTACCACTAGATCAAATGCATCTACTTCTGAAAAATATGCTTTCTGCTTCTCAACAAATTCCCGTGGAAGCTCAATCTTGGACTCATCTTTTCCATATATTGTTCCACGTTGCCTCTGCAAAAACTTAGCTACTCATTATTACATTAATTAGTTGAATTTGAACCACGATTTAGGACTTCTAATAGTTGACTGCTAACAAATGGTTAGTGTGAAATAAAAATATTAGAGACTTTTAATTGCATAATTAGTGAATTACCATATCATGGCAATTCGGTAGGTCCTCATCTTATGAAAAATAAGGCTTCGAAAACTGAGACCCGGCGATCTCGATTGTTAATACTACTGAAAGGGTGTCATTTTCTGCCGTTTCATACAAACTATTTACTATTCTTTATGAAGAAACAGAGTCGGTCTGTAAAGTCTAATCAATTAATAATCCCGTAGAGGATGTAAACAAAAGTCAGTAAAATATTGCCCAAACCATGACTAAGAGTAATGTTCACACTTCACACAGTGGTGGTATGGTACTTCCAATTAATCAGGAACAGAAGTCATTCATTGTAGTATGGTTAAAGCATACATACCATCACATTTCTGGGAGAAAGGTCAGAATACATATTTTGCTGACATATAGAATAAACATCAAATTAAACACTAAAGAAGCAAGGAGCAAGAATAAGGATAAAAGTGTTTCCCTACTCTAGATTAACAGATACAAATTTTACAAGTACTACAATTTTCAACGGACCTTTTTACACGGAACGGTCCTCGCTTTGGATGGGCTGCTGTATCCATCTCTTTTCTCACCCCTGCTTAAACCAAGGGAACCATTAACAACCGAGTGAGCAACCAAAACTAAACGAGGAGAATTTAGGAGACATATTTCTTCTATCCATTAATCCATAACTTTAGATAAAAACATTCTAGTAGTAGTAGTATTAGCACTAATGCCCACTAGTCTAAACTAACTTTTCTCCAACAAAATTGGAAGCTATTAAGAAGACAAACAAACGTTCAACTAGAAAGATGAAAGCCTCAACAGACTGAAGCTTTTCATACGTAAAGCATTCAAACAATTGAGGCTCAGCAAACCTATCAACAAAAATGAAAGAGTAGACAAATCCTTATCTATGCGAGCTGCAATTTTTCCTCAATACATAAAATCAGAGCAACACCAAATCAACCTGAATAGTAATTGTTTGAATAGTCAAATTTTACTTCACAGATAAAAGCAACACATGGACCAGGATAGATAAATGTTTAAATTGTCCAACAAAGCAGGGCAGGGGCAAGCCAGGTTGATAACTAATGTAGAGTGCAGGCAAATTGCTCTTTTGAAACTTAGCAAACATTGGATTCCATTAGTCACATAAATACCATGATAAAACTCTCATTAGACACTATGAAACGTTGAACCTGTGACTAAATTCGTCTAGTTTCAGAAAAAAATCAATCCATGAACCATTTCGAAGATTTAAATGTGAAGAAATTTGGTTTCAAAAGGGGGGAAAAGTGCAGAGATATTTACATGGTATGGATTTTTGATGCGGTAGCGAAAATAAATGGTGTAAATGCTATCTCCGTGCTCTTCCTTTTATTTGTAGGGTGCCTCCTACTGTAGAATGACTGGGGCTCCGAAACACGATCTGTTCCTGAAGTCAAGACGCAACATATTATCCAGACTTCAAGCCACCGAAAATTTGAAGAAAAAATGAACAAAAAGATCTCAATATTGAAGTTCCTAGTTCATATAACCACGCGTACAAGAAGAATACTCTCCTGCACGCAGGTATTTCCACTCCGCATTAGTTATTAAAAGTAAAACAACAAATCTCTTCTACTTAAAATTTTCAACAATTCCAAAATAGCTCGTATTTCATAAATTCCAAAGTAGTAGTTCCAGTAAAGTGAACTTCTCTTAAGAAAAAAAGGGAAGTAATAGTTACTGATGCTTACAGTTCCAGTTGTCCCACTGAAAGAATCAAGCACCAAAACACCAAAATCACAGCACGGCAACGGATATCAGAAAGTACAATTACCTGAACTAGACGGCAAATCTGCGCGCCGCGTAGGAGTAGAAGCCTCTGCAGGAAGAGAACTAGAACTAGGTTCTGTAGGAAGACAATCAGAACTAGCGTTTGGTTCAGTAGGAAGACAATCAGAACTAGCGTTTGGTTCAGTAGGAAGACAATCAGAACTGGAGTTTGGTTCAGTAGGAAGACAATCAGAACTAGGGTTTGGTTCTGTAGGAAGACAATCAGAACTAGGGTTTGAAGCTTGCAAATTAAGGGATGCGGATGCAGACGTAAAACTTGATTCGCCTTTCTTCTCATTGTTGACAGCATCTTTAACCGCGGACTTGATTACACGTCTCCGGGGTTTGATTACAGAGGAAAAATTCGATGCCGACGATTGCGAGGAGAGGACGGTGTTGGTACAATCTGAGAGGGGTTTTCGAGCTCTGAGATTTCGCTTCGGGGCTTCCATCTCCAGTTCTTCCCATTTCACAGAGGAAGAAGAAGGCGTTCCCGAATCTTCATGCTGGAGAAGACGCGAGGAAGAACTTGTGTGGAGGAAGCTAACAGTAACGCTGGCGGGAAATTCCGGTTGAACTTGAAACTTCGACGACAAGATTTGGAGTGGCGTTTGCCGTGAAATGAACTGAAGCACGGGAACTTTGCCTTTGGGCGGAATCTTCTAGTTGGTATCCGATGGGCCACCACTATTATGATTTATGGGCCTTACAGTGTTTTTGGCTCGGTCCATTTGAACAAGAACCTGGGCCTCACGGATCCATATCTCATCAATTGTCGTTTCATAAATCACCTTTTTTTTTTAATTCTCCGACATTTTAGAATTGATATTTCACTAACGTCTATAAGTATTTACGATTATAGATTTTCAAGTTTGAAGAAGTTTTTTTTTTCTCTCTCTAAATTGTTCTTAATAAATATCATTCTATTATATTTATTCTATATGTTATTTATTTATTATTTTTTAATGAACTAATAGGTAAATATGTACATTTATTAATAGATTATATTCTAATTAGTGATTCAACAAATAGATAAAGTTTTAATGTAACTATACTTGTTGAGATTCTAATTACGAAAATTATGAATGTAATTCATCCCATTTCTGAACGTACCGTTCACCTGTCAAGCTTCTTTTTTTTTTTTCCTCAAGCATCTAGCGATAAATTTATTTTCTCAAAGTTCCGACAATTCTGTTATTTTTTGGGGACTTGTGATCAAATTGAAAATCTCAATCTCAAGAATAAAATATAATTTAAACAAATAAATGGTTATATTATTATCCTATCTCAACGAGTGATGTGTCGAAGAATCATCACTAGATGCAGAAATAAAAGATAACCTATAAAATATATCTAAATAAAAACTTAAATTAAAAAAAAAACCTTAACTAACTTTTTATTAATATTTAATGTTCGGGTGAGGATCAAACAATCAATATGCTCACACATATCTTATCCACCAACAGGAAGAGACGTTGATATCTTAAACCAATTAAATTAGATTAATTAAACTATCATTTGTCAATGTACAATTTTTTGAATTAAATTAAATTACCGTAGACCAATAAATTGAATTAGTAAAACTCAACTGATTTTACAGTGTTTCATTTTATACATCTGGTTATGAAACAAAAGTAGGGGAAATATTATAACATTTTCATAAGCTATAAATGGAAGGGAGTTAATATTTGTTAAATAAAGAGTATGTCAAAAAGCTTAGTCATATTACAGCACCCCTAGTTTCCCACAAAACCACATCTAAAAAATCAATAGAATAAAAATAAAAAAATAAAGGTACTGGGATTTTGAATGATGCTTTTTAGGTGATACATATTTTTCCAAATATAATAATTTTTGCACACGTGGTATGCCCCCCTAATTAACCCACTTTACCTCGTTTGATTTCGGTAGGTGAATTCAGTCAAAGTTTCAGATAGATATTTTTTACATAAGGTTTGGTTTTTAAAAAACATACATGTGAGTTTGTGACACAATTCTGATGCGTATTATTATTTTTTTTTTTTATGCCAGATATATGGAAATCTTCGCATTCTCCATTATTTAAGCCAAATTCGCACCTTCATAAAATTATAAATTTTTTTTAGAATCGAAATTATAAATTTGAAAGTTTATTATTTTATTAATATTCCATTGTTATTAGTATTTTAGTTCATATATTAATTTAAATCTCAGTTAACTCAGAAATTAATTGTACTGTTTCTGATATTAATACAAAAATCAAAAGAAATTCAACTCGAGAAATACCTGGTGAGAAATAACCTTTCCAATATAAATTTACAAATATTGACCTACTCCTAAATAACGTGCAAATACATTATAAATTTTTACAAATATTGACCCTCCCCTTAATAACATGCAAATACATTATACGTGTTTGACGGGAAATTCAACGAAGAGAAAACTCGTATTGATGAACTTTTATTTGTATTGAATGGATGTAGTGTTACGATTTTTAATATATGATCTTCTGATTAATTCTGTCATATGTGAACTTTAATTCGACAGCTTGTGGATGACTGTGAACGCTCTGGTGTCTCTGAATCTCCAATTGTTCTAGATCTCTCTGAATGCACCGCCTCCTTTCCTCTCTGGAGATGAGAGGTCACCCCTTTATTTATAGAGTTTTGGTGGGTCGTATATGGGTCATGGGCTTGGGCTCAATCGGTTTGGTAAAATTAGTTGGTTTTATTGGACACTTGTAAATGACACTAAAATTAGTATTTTAAAAATTAATATGCAAGTTATATGATAATTTTTCATTTTTTTCTTTTTTAATGAAATGTAAGACTTGTTGATCAAATTTTTTCTCAAAACCCAATATAATTTATTAAAATACGCAAAAAATATGACATCATATCAAAATCATGATAATAAAAAGAAAGAAAAAAGGAAGCAAACACAATATAGCGCAAGTAATAAAAATGTTAGTTTTATCTCTTTAATTTGTTGTTTAAAAAGTAGAGCGTAAGTGGATTGGCAGAGACCAATGTTTAGTGGCGCATCCAACGGCTGAGAGTGAGAGTGAGATTTGAGAATCATATGGGAATTTGGTGAAGAAACCAGAAACGGAGAGCCACAGCATCCTGTTTCCAACAAAAACAGAGGAATCTCTCTAAAACCAATGTGCTCCCTCTCTAAACTCTCTCTATATAAATCTTCTCTTCCTGCTTCCCTCTTCATCGCAGTTCTGCACACAACTGGGTTTTCTAGAGTGAAAAGATAACAAAAAAAAAAAAAAAAGACATTCAAAAGAAGAACAATGGAAGCAATTCAATCCTGGGTTTCTCAACACAAACTCACCAGCATTGGTAACTTCTCCTCTCTTTTATCTCCTCCGACGCTTTTCAATTTTATGTTCGTATTTCCTTAAAAGAGATGCTTTACCACTAAAGCTGAAAGGGATGAGAGTGTTAATTTGCAAAATTTATTAGGGATGCAGCAATATATTAGAAATTAAAAAAAAAAAAAGTTTGGATAAAATTTGGGTGTTTATCTTTATAGGAGCGCTATGGGCATCTGGGATCGGAGCATCACTGGCGTACACCCGATCGAGGACTCCCCTGAAGCCAAGTCTCCGGCTTATACATGCCAGGTATATTTTTATTAATTATATACCCGACAAATATATACAAAATAAAAATTTAGAGCTAATTTCTTTTTATAAAATGGATCGAGAATTTTCTTTTACTGAAATTAATGGAAGTTTGTTTTTTGCGTCAGGATGCATGCTCAGGCATTGACGTTGGCGGTTCTTTCCGGCGCCGCCGTCTACCACTACTACGAGAAGAAAGCCGCCGGCGACCGACCGGAGGAAAAAGATTAAGATTAATGGAAAACCAAAAGCCGACGATATTTTTCTAAGGCTAAGGGATGGGATCCATCAATTTGTGTAAATTAAATGAAGGATATTGGATCCTTTTAGTTTTAATTAATTGATGTATGTGTAGCCATTTATGGCAAAGTTATAAGATCTTCTGCTACTCTACTTGTTCAATGTTCAGTTCAGTAGCATTTATCTTTCAAAATATTTTTAATCAACAATACTTCGTTTCTTCAAAATATTATTTGAATATATAAATTTGACCAATAAATGAACCGAGGATGAAGAATGGCCTATAATCTCAAAATCCCGACGTGCCACAGGGGAGATTATTTTATTATTTCTTTAACAGATTTGGCAAAAGTTCCCTAATTTTTTAAAAAATAATGCTGTTGTAGCGAGGATTTGACCCACCGAGAAATTGCTTCACACAGCTATATTTGATTGTCAATAAAATATATATATAATTAATTGTTAACTAAATAGGTGATCATGATCAGATTTGAATACGTTTCTGTTTAGATTCAATCCTAATCCATTTAATTTAATTAAATGAGCACACTCATGAGAGTTTGGTAATATAAAAATGATTAAATTTGTATTTTAATCGAGTTAAGAATGTTAAAAAATATTAGATGGCTTTAATATTTGAATTCACAAAACAAAGGGAGAATAGATGACCAACTTTTACCCACCTTTGACACTGATAGCTCTCAGTCAACCATGTATCCATTAATTAATCACATATAATTAATTAGGAGCTCTCCTAACTCTTCTTACTTTAAACATCTCTTAATCGGATATCTATATTTACATAATTGTTTTTTCTTTAATTTTTTATAAGACAAGATAAGAAGATGTAGGGTGTAGGATCACTTTGTCGGTTATGGAGTTTTATGGCCCTATATAAATATTTAATAAAGTGATGTGTTATTCTCCTCTGGGTTTTTTAGGGGTTGTTTTTTGTTTCTATTATAAATAAGTTTAGGTAATAGAATACACATTTATGTAATCTGCTCTTGCAATTATTGGTGGTTCAGTTTAAAGTTTTCGCCAATCAAGTATGGATGCCAGCCAATTCAACTAGCAAAGACGTATACTTCTAACTAAAAAAAGTATGTGTTTCAACTTCTACTTTCACTTGTTGTTATATTAAAAAAATTTGATAAAATTCTCTCTCTCAACATAAAAACAAGTAAGAGATGGAACCTTTGATGTTAAGAAATATAATGAATGTATCATCTAATGAGCTATACTTGAATTTGTAAAATTAACACAATCAAAATTGAATTTATGTTACATGGATCTACTTGGATGGTAAAAATTAAAAAACTTTTTTGATTCAAGAAAATTAAGCCATATAATAAAATTTAATTATTAATTCAATCAAACGGTTATCTCTGAGGATGACGTAGTGACAAAGAAATAGAGTTTCATGATAGACGTACATGGAGATGAGGAATAGAACCCGCGTCATTTTATTAAGATATGTGCCTCAACTAGTTGAAGTGTGTTCAAATTTGATACATTTAAATAATAATATTAATTACAATGATCACTTATTGAAATAAAATTTTGGAAGTTAATAACATAATTGATTTTCTTTTAAATGGGTCTAATTTAGTCTAGTCCGTGTATGTAGGGGATATTTTTAAGATTTTAATTTCTTTTTAATTTTATATTTTTTTAACTTGGTAAAGTCACCCCTATTTAATAGGGAGTGGAATATAAAGTGATTAACCTACTTTGTTAACAAGTCTCTCTATTATATAAATAGGATTAATAAGTCCACTTTAGCATTAAGACATGTATTATTTTTTATTAAAAAAAATCGTCTATTTAAACTTAGACCACTAAAAAAAATAATTAGCTGTTTACTAACTTATTTGTGTTGTTATTTAAAAAATTCCTACTCCTAAGTCTCCTTTAAAAATATTTCGGCATTTTTGTTTTAATTATATAAAAGGACTCTGGAAATAGTTAATTAATTAAGAAAAAGAGAAAAGACGTGTTTGCCTCGAATGTCTCGGCTGTGGTGAGGTTGGAAAGTCCTTTTCCACTTCCAACCATATTTTTTTTCCAATTTTTCTATTCCACTTCTTTAAAACACACTCAATCGCCAACATTCAATCTGCTAATTCTCCCATTTGCCCTCCTCCCCCAGAAAACGCTCTCACAACTTCAAGGGCAGGATGGTCAGTTATCTCCAATTAAAATGCATTGAACCCAATTAAGGCAATCATACAACTAGATTCTTTTATATGTTATCAAAGGAGAAACTAATTAACAAAGATAATTCAATAATTTCTTTTTTTAAACAAACTCAGTTTCTAAATATTCAACATTTATTTTTCTTTTTAGATTCCTTTAAGTTATAACAACCCAATTAAATAAATAAATTCAACAACCTCTTTTCTGTTTCTTTAAACCCAAGACTTGGGGTCGTTTCAACTCTCATCTTCTTCCTGCTGATTTGGAAGAGCTTGTTTTTTGTTTTTGGTTTCTCTCTCTAGAGGAGAAGGCAGAGAAAGAGAGAGAGAGAAATGGACTGCTCAGTCTGCAGCGCATTTCCGGCGATGTTGCGGCCGCCGCGGAATACGATTTGCGGGTCGTGCCACGACGGAGCAAAGCGTCTGATGAATTTGATAGACCATCTTCAACATGATAAAGCAATTGCAAGTAATAATAATGTTTCGTCTCAGCTTGGTCACTCCTGTAAGGCAAGTTCTTTTCTTCATCTCCTCTTTTCAAATTAACATCAATATTACATCGTGGAATTTTATTGTTATTATGAAAAGTTTAGTCAAAGATGAAGAATTTACAGCCAAAAAAAAAAAGGTTATAATATAGAAGTTAATTAAGTTCATGACAAAGTGAGATATTTGGGCCTTCGGGCCCAGATTGCTGAATTGGACCAAAACAGAACAACGAGATAGATAACCATGTTGACCAACTACCATGCAATAGAACATGGTATTGTAAATGGTCAAATGAACATTATTTTTCGGTCATTGGTATCATTTTTTTTACGAGACTATTTTTTTGGTTTCTCGTTTATTAATATAATATTAATAAATTGATAAAAATCCTGTTGAGTAAGTAGTAAATCTAAAAGTATTTCTATAAGTTTCCATGAGGTAAAATAAAGTTGTTCCACAATGTTTAAATATATCCCACGTCAATATAAGAAATATAAGCATAGTTTTATTTGTTAAGCATAATAGAGATTTTGACTAATCCCTATTATGGTGGTTGCTTCTAATTTTGTATCTTATTTTATTTTTAAAAAAATAGAAAAGAAAATACTTGTTTAAAAACGACATAAGCATAATTGATAAATCATTTTTAATTTAACAATAAGGTGATAATTCCAATTTTTTTTTTTAAATTTTTATAAAGAGGTCAGAATTCCAACTTCTGATTTTTAAAATTTAGTAACTATTTCGGTCCTATTTGCTATTTTCTAGCATTATGAGGTAAAAATGTTGTTTTTTTATTATATATATATATATATATATATATATATATATATTTTGTTTTATTTATGATATCTAATGTGCGTAATTTGTGAACTATAAAAGAAAATAGGTACATATTTGATAACCAGTATTTTTAGATTTTAAATTTAAAACTTTAAAATACATTATTACATCAGGTAAAAAWTTTGACAAATATATTATATTATACTATAAAGTCATTTCATTTAGGTAAAATAAAAATAAAATATAAAATAAAATATATTATAAAATATATAATATTGTAAAGTAATAATATACAAAATTTATAATATATACATTAATAAATCAATCAGTAATATTTTAAATTTTCAAATATGTTATTAAAGATATCTGAAAACAAAGAAAACAATCCTATTTTCATCAAATCCTTAAACCCACCCTAATATTTTGGAATCGTGTGTTTATTTTCTTTGATGTCCGCCTCCAGACTCTGGCGAACGCTTCGAAATGGGTAACAGAGTTGAAAGAGCGAGAAGAAGAACTAGAACAAAAGATCGATTTTCTGGGCGAATTCGTAGCCGCGTTCCGCCACCGGATTCACACCGATATCCAACTGAAGGCTGGCTCCGCCGCGTCCCCTCCCGTTTCCGCTCACAGAGCCCTACTGGTAAAATTGCAACTAATTCCGTAATTCAATCCAATATCACCTTTGAATAATTGACAATTACAGGCAACAAGATCCGAGATCTTCAAAAACCTCCTCGAATCGGACGGCTGCAAAGCCGCGCCGGTGGAAGCCATCACGGTGCCGGAAATGAGCCACGAGGAGCTGGAATCTCTGCTGGAATTCCTGTACGGCGGGAATGTGGCGGAGGAGAGGCTGGAGAAGCACGTGTATTCGCTGAGTCTCGCGGCGGACAAATACGAGATTGGGTATCTGCAGAACTTCTGCGAGAGGTACATGGTGAGATCGCTGAATTGCGGCAACGCTCTGGATGTGGTGGAGGTAGCAGATGTTTGCTCCCTGGGAGCGCTGAAGGAGACTGCCATGGATTTCATCGTCAAAAACATGGAGGAAATCGTATTCTCCTCTCGATTTGATGCGTTTGCGATCAAGAATCCGCATCTTTCCGTCCAGATTACTAGAGCTTCTTTAATGGACGCCAAAAAATAAAACACTCCCAATTTCCCTTTTACTTAATTAGTTTATTATTACTTTTTGGTTTTATTGTGCTACTTAATATTGTATCTATATGTTATCCATTTATTAGAAGTAAAATGAAAGAGAAGGATGATTTTTTAAAGTTCATAGACTAAAATAATATTTTTGAACATGCATGAACTAAAATATGATAATTTTGAAAGTTTGGAGATTGAGAAAGCGAGATTTGAAGGTTGAATTTAAGTGCGTGAGACTCATTACTTGAACTATTAGGTTTGAATTTTATTTTTAAACTGTATATGTTATTTCGTTGTACAAACATTTTTCATTTCTTATTATCATTTTAAGAAACATCGTCCTCAAAATTTTCTATAAATATTTTAGAAACAAAAATTTATGTTTGATTGCAACTAAATTAGTTTAAGTTGAATTTAACAAACCTAAATTTATTAATGAAAGATACATTTTTATTTTCAATATACTTGCCCATATTCCTCTTTTATTTCAAAATTAACTCGGAAGATAACATTGAATTGCTATTTATTATTTTCAAGAAGTGGGGTTGGAGGATTCCAAGATGTTTTGGTGAGAAACATATAAACCAATTATAGTTGAGCTAAATTTATATTGACTCATATGATATTAAATCGCTAATTTCAATTTAATGTGTGAAAATTAAAATGTCATACATCTTTTAAAGTTCCAACTTTTCACTATTTCTAAAATAATATTTTAAAGACAACCAATAACAAAATCTAAATATTATATAATAGTCAAGTTTATTTACATCGTGTAACTGATAGAATTAGTTGAGTTATAAGTTATTTGCAACTATAAACTATAAGTTTTAATATTTTGATTTCTTCTTATTCATAATTTTTGAGAAAAACATGTGTTTGGTAGACGGGTCTTGTTTTTCATTTCTTATCTCTAAAAAAATGTTTTCAAAATTATATGAAAATTTTGAAAACCACATAATAAAGTTTCCCATTTCTAATTCTTTTCCATAAAATTAAATAAAAGCATGATTTTTTAAAATAAAACTTGAACTATAAATATATAAACATTTTTAAAAAATATTTAATTAAAAAAAAACCTKTTTCTATTGAAGTTTTAAAGAATAAGAAACAGCAAATAGTTATAAAAAAAATATTTCTATTTCTCTTTTTAGCAGTAAGAAGTAAGAAAGGGTTATCAAACATAATTTTGTATTTCTTTACTAAAAAAGGAACGCGAAGCAAAAATATTACCAAATAGATTTTAAATTTTCATGAATTCAATATAATCTAACTTACCACACTGACAAATCGCACATAACTCAACGATAATTGACATATATCTCAAACCAACATGTTGTGAGTTTGATTCCTCACTCTCACATGTTGTACTCGGAAAAAAAAAAAACTGACTACACATAAGTACTCCTATAGTCAATTTGAAGCTTAATGGGTTAATGCACATATCCCGATCAAAAGTTCTGAGTTTGAATATCCACTTATTGTGTGTATGTATATATATAAAAAAGAAGTAAAATCCTATAACCACAATTATTTAGAAAATAATTGAGTTGTTTTTTTATAGTTGTGGGCCTCGCATTTGCAATATCCCACATAGGCACAAATAATAAATAGACAGCAACAAAAATACTTATTTCTTTTGATTTTTCAACGTGCCCTCAAAGTTTGACGCGCTTTCGCACAGCTGTCCTTCGTCACCATCGCTAAACACCCCATTTATTTTCGTCTAATTAATACACAGTCACGTGTTTATATAACCACTCATCCTTTTCTTATAAATCAAGTTACAAATTTTGTGCTAACATCATTTTAACCGGAAGTAAAATTTGTAATTATTTTAGACCTTTGTTGTCCGTAGTCAAAATCAGAATTTTGATACGTGTCATCTCCTATTTAGATTGGAAAGAGGTAGAAAATATTGGATCATCCGTATCCACTTACCTAATCCATGTCGAATTGAGATCATGCTTGAAAGATATACTCACCGACCTGAGGAATCCGACCTTAGACCCAACCACTGACCTGGGGGCCCGACAGTTGTAACCGCTGGTCGTATAACAGCCCAACGACTTTGTCTCCCTTGTTTGCATATAAAAGGGACACCCTACCCCATTATCAGGTACGTTATTTCCTCTAAGAACGACCTAAAAAGCTCGAGCTCGCAACTAACTTGAGCGTCGGAGTGTTTGTTCCTTGTGCAAGTTCACTTGTGACCACCTCGATAGTTCGTCCACGTGACCGACCTGTAAGTTCGACAGTAAACAACATCAACATTTATGTTCATTAATAGACTATTTAGTGAGTTGCCGTGGGATTATTAGCTAGAATTCTCTCATACAATTAATAATTAATTCAGCTACTAAGTCCCTTTTTAACGTAATTAAATTATTTGAATCGTCATAAAATAATGAAATGCTAACCCCAGATAAGATTCAACTAAATTAAATACTAATCCAAGATAAGACTCAACTAAACTAATTAATGACTTAGAAAAAACTAAATTAATTAATGTTGATGTTAGGGGAAAAAGAAAACATCCGATCCTCTCTGGAATAAATAAAGGGCATTCGTGCCCCATGCAAGGATTTCTCCCGATCCGATCCCTCTAAAAGATATATATATATATATTTTAATCTTAAATCTAAATTTCCAAAATTTTATTATTATATATATTATTGGAAAGGATTCTTTGCGACATAATAATAAAAAAGGCAACTGCATGATGGTGAATTGAATTGTATTCTTGTGAAGTACATGAAGAAATAAACATGTTTTTTTGTTTTAATAATTTACTTTACACTAGCAAATACTATTCAATATTGTTAAAAAATAAATAAAAACTAAACACCAAAAATTAAAAAAAAAAAAATTTGAATCACTCACCATCCTAGGTTTAAGATTTGATATTTTAGGTTTGTGGTAAAATTTAATCATTTAATATATTTTCAACACTAACCCTCACATGTCTAGACTGTATGTATATTTTTATATCATTTATACAACTTAACATGTGAACGATATTAATATAAAATAGAGGGCAAATAATATTACTTAAACTTTTTTCACTTTAATATTGTATATATCAGATTATCGTAATGTTAAGATATATAAAAATCTCAAGGAATATCCTTAAGATCTTGGGTTCAAGTCACATGGAACGTAACTCCACGAAACAATGATCCCTTATATATGTAATGGGTATGAAGACAGTATCTATACCCGGACATAAAGGTCAAAGAGCCGCCAACTGGGTTATAAAAAAAAAGATATATAAAAATTCTCTCATTTCTCAATCGATGAGATATATTTTTGAATAGAAGTAAATCGAAGACATTTTTGAAATACAAATGATTGTTTGGCTAAAAGGAAGAAGGTTAATGAATTTAAGATATTATATTGTTCATGAAAGCAATGTTCTAGATTTTGCACCGACCACAGAATCCTTACTGTCCCCTCCTTAAACACATCACTAATTAAACTGTTTAACCATAGCTGTAGCCCTAATCTCAATCTTTAATAGAGCATTATAGGGTTTGGGCAGAAGCTTATAATTTAATAATTTTCCACGCTGTCCTAATTTTCAATATGGGATCCTCTACGCATACAAGGTCATATTAATTTATAATATATAGTATCAAATTCAAATATATTCCATGTTTCCTGGAAATGAACTCACCCTCATATGCAAATATATATGTATAAACTCATTTTATTTTATTTTCTTATGATCGAATAATTAATCTGCTGATGAACCGGTTATACTTTATTCAATCATTCATGAGGATTTGTGTTTATGATATGAATTGATTTATCTTAGGTTTCACGATTAATATAATGAAAAAGTTGTGTAGTAGTTGATTAACGCATTAAACTATGTGGTAGTATTTAATGAATAAAAATCAAATATTCGATGGAGAGAAATAATTGTTTAATGTGTACAAGCTTTTTTTAGTATAATATATAAGGTGGGGAGATTCATTCAAACTCACACTTTCTGGTGCTTTCAAAATTATTACATTTTGATTCATGAACTTTTACAATCTCGATTTTAATTAACCACTTAAAAAAATTATTTTAGTTGTATTTGTATTTGTATTTTTCTTTAAACGAAGAAAGATGACTTAGCTTCAAATACTTATATTAATGTGCTAGTTAATCATAACATATCTGAATTGATTAAGATATTTAAGTTTTACATTATTCTTCTTTGATATGTTATGGTATGCTATATGGCGGTATCTCTTAAAACAAAAAAAGAAAGCTTCACATTCTAAAATGTTTATTTTTTTTTTATTTTTTAAGTTTAGAGACTAAAACAAATATTTTGAAAGTTTGGATAAAAAATGAAATAAATGCAAGAGTTCAATGACCAACACAAACATCGTTTTAGTGCTTACAATATCTTTACCTCCTCTAAGAGCTCGTATGTTCAAACAATTATGCAACTCCTTGTTAGTTTTGATTCCTGTATTTTCAAATTGTTCACTTTCGTTCTTATGTACCTCCTCTAACACAAATTTCAACGAACTTTGGTTCATTTTAATCCTTGTAATTTCAAAATATTTGTTTTGGTCCATGTACTCTTAAAAGGTGACCATTTTGATTTCTTAATTTTATTTTTAATCTCATTTCCCTATCAAAATTTCAACACGACACTACACGTAATATATTTATTGAAATGTGTAACCATGTCTTCGTTAAAAAAAAAAAAAGAGAAAATGTAGCCTGACTAAAGACTTCCATCATGCATAACGAATTTGTGTCAAAATTTTGAAAATAGGAACAAAAATGGTCATTTTTTAAAATTACAACGACCAAACCGAACATTTTGAGAATACACGAACTAAAATGAACCAAAATAGTTAGTACAAAGATACATGAACCAAAATGAACCATAGCGGATAAAGTATAGAACCAAAAACGGTGTTTTAACCTTTATAGAACTAAAATGAAACACCATTTCCTCTCAAAGCTGGCAGAAGAGGATGAAATGAAGAACAACCACAATCATAAAGAGAGATTAAGTACATTTAAAGGGTGTTTAGTGATATAAACACAAACACAGAGCCACATTGTTGATCAATCTACAAAGGACAAACGAAAAAAAGAAAGAAAAGACACGAAAATTCAGAGAGGCAAAGAAAAGATGGTGCATAATAGGAGAGTTAATTTTGTTTTTGGCCTTTGGCCATATGATATGATATGAAAGAGA